CATCATTTGATCGTTATCACTGTACTTCCGTAACATTCATAAGAAAAACAGATTTTTTGAGCATTTAAGTATCGTGCAACCTTAATGAAGCAGAAGTAACATCACTGTGTGACAATATGTTAAGTTGGTGAGAGCCTCACCTCGTCCTCTTGACTTGGCACCTGGTTTAATGATCCAGATGTTATTTAGTCCGTCTGTGTCGAGCTGAGGACAAGCCTCCTGCAGTCGGGTCAACATGGCCTGGCAGCGCTCCACAAACACACAGCTACCCCTGATCAATGCACCTTCACTGCACACAGACATTTTATTAGAAGTGCAGATGATGTTTATTGACTAATAGATTCATTCAATGTAATTATTTTAGTTTATTTTTTTGTATCATTTTACTGAACTTTTACTTTAATTCAGAAAGTAATTGTGCTTTCTTTAACACTGCAAGATTGGGGGTGTTTTTCAACAGTTTACTTGGTTTCTTAGAAAATAATTAGTGGATCTCAGGGAAGTTCAGGGGACAGATATTTATAACTGTCTGAAATCTGGTGCAGATAAAAAAAATTTGTGAATGTAAATGTGGTTTCATATGGGGGCTGTTGGGCCTTAATGGAGGTATTTGCCCACTAGAATGGAACTGGAACATACAGTATCATTTAACTCTAACTCTATATTTAACCGCAACCTGATTCCTAACATGAACTCTAGATAGTAAATACCTCTGTATCTCACCTGATAAGAACTCATACATATTATGTTGAGATTTACTCTGACATGTACTGCTCATACATTTGAATGCTACTCTGCCATGTGAAGCATTTTATTTTAATTATTATAACTACTTTTAAATTAATTAAGTAGCTGAACTCAAATGAGCAGCTCTTTTACAGTGTGCTATCATGTCTCAGTGTATTTGTCAGTGCATGTGTGTATCTGTTATTTTTGTCTTCTTCAATTTCCTTCAGGGTTTATGAAGTAGTATTGTTTTGGGTTGTACTGAATTTATAGAAGGGTTTTTCCAGCAAACATTAGAGGCTCTGAGAAAAAAAAACATACTTACTGCACAACCATGTAGTAGTTCTGCAGAAACTCTGCCCACTGCTGCTCCTCCACTGTCGGAGGTGTTTGCACAGTCACATCAATATCGCCGTGCTCTAAGACACTGAGAAACTCTTCACACACATGTAAGGCTGTGTCGATCATTTCTGGACAAACGAATCGCTGCTCCACATTATCTGACTCTTAAAAAAGAGAGAATAATTTGTTACATTATCCTTGTCCCGCACTTCATATCATGACATTTCACGTGTTCTTTTATTCATTTTACTTTCAGAGATGCTGTTTTTGGCTTTTTGTTTCCCGACCTCTGCTCCCTCTCTCCTCCATCCCCTTGTTTCAACCACATGCTGCAGCAGACTGGTGCAGGCTGTCCTCCTAAAGTCCTCTTGGATTTCACAGCACAGAGCGAGAGACAGAAGAAACATTTACACATGCTATTCCATTCATCTGGTATGTAAATGGGGGATTTTTCCATATTCCATGAACACCAAAACACACAAAAAGTCTTTTTGGCTTCATGTTAATGGATGTCATGAAACAAACCTATAAATGCGTGCTTTTCATCCTCTGCTCCAAGCCTGTAGCATCTTGGAAAGAAGGTATCAGGATCTGCTTTATCAAACCACTGAAGGTTTCGCAGGTTCACACAGAGCCCAACCTGAAAGAAACAGAATTAGACAGATTGGAGGAGACAAACAGAACAAGTTGACCTTTGGCTAAAGTCGACTAACTTTGCATTTTTGTCAGTGAATCATTAGAATCTCTTGAGAAATCAGACCTTGGTGGTGAAAGTTCCCGCATTTGCAAAGTGATTGGTCATTTGGTCATTCCGCAGGGAGCGGCAGTCGATGTAATCCCGTCTTGTTGTCCAGAACAAATATGCTGTTTCGTTTCGGACCAGGCGAGACTAGGTTACATGGAAGTAAGTATTGTAACGTACACGTTCGACTGCTTTCAGTGGTGCAATGTCAGCGTCAAGTTGTTTCGTTCTTACCATGAGGTCAAACGTTTCATCAAGGTTCTCCTCTTTCTCCCCTTCATCCACTCTCTCTGAAAACAAATAAGTAAAGAAGTGTGTGTGTGTGTGTGTGTGTGTGCCTGCGTGTATAAAGGGCAGGGGTCTATGTTATATGGTAACCAATGTATCATTTATCACTCCAGTGTGCTCCAATTACATACTCTATAGGTTACTCCTGCACTTTTAACTTTAGAAGCTACTCAAGAATATTACTGATCTTTCTTTGAGACAAGACTGTGGATGATTAGAAGAAATATTTAATTGTAACTTGTATGGATTTTAGTTTTTCATTTCAAATTAGAGGCTTTTCAATTTGCTGGTTATGTGTGCTCGATCCAGAAACTTTATTTCTCTAAATCTTAATGTCTCACCAGAGACATCAGCGCTGGCATCAGCATCATCTCCATCCTCCTCCTCATCACCATGGCAATGAGATGCTCTCTGAACTTGAGGGGGCAGGCGACGTTCCACCCACCCTCTGGCCCATAAGGCAGCACTGATCACGGGATAGGGCCCTTGCACCGAAAACACTTTCCTCAACTGGTGAAATTTAAAATTTAAAAGGCACCTAGATTAAATTCAAAGAAGAAAGGGAAAATATATTGTGAGTAAAATCTGATTTGTGCATACAATCACCTTGACTGCTTTCTCCACCAATGCCTTAGCTGTTTTCAACCGTTCTGGCCTGATCGCAGGCAGGCTGGGCACACTGCTGTGTAACCTCCCCTCCACTGGAGCCACACTGGACTGTAACACTAACAAAAAAACAGTAATATGAAATTGTCCGAAAATGTTTTTATATATGTGAATATTCAAATGTTCATTTGCTCTCACCTGGCATTTGTTGCATTGTATGTTGTCCTCTCTTGTAAGTCTCAGGTAATCAGTGTAATATGTTCAGTTCACTAACAGAAGAATATGTTATTGTTATAATATTATTATAGATGGATAGAAAGTTGATGATTGGTTAGATGGTCGTAGATAGATTGTTTAAACACTGTGGTTATGTAGAATGGGAGATAGGTCAGTCGGTAGATAAGTGGTAGCTGAGTGGCAGGTAGGTATAGATAGATTGGTTGGTCGGTAGATAGGTAGGTAGTAAGGAGGGAAGGTATAGATAGATAGATAGATAGATAGATAGATAGATAGATAGATAGATAGATAGATAGATAGATACATAAGGTGGCATGTGGTGACTACTTAGTCACAACAGAGGAAGGATACAAATCGGGTCAAGCAGGTATCTAAATCTGGACAGAGCTGACTGTCACACTATAGCTACTTATAGACACATACCCATGCACACAGAGACATGCACATACATACACATGCACTAAAACAAAGCTGATTTGATCATCTCTCTATCTATAACAGTGATCAGGCATGAATACAAGATATAATGCAGCTGATAGTTTACATGAAATACTAACACATACAAACCTAATGGTGTCACTTCCGCATGCAGGGACCTGTCCTCTCTGTCCACTCTGTCCATTCCCTCGTTCCTTCCTTCCTTCCTTAATGTGCCCGCAGAAAGTTCCCATAACAACCACGCATGCTGCCGCATGATGTTTATAGTTGCCATAACGACCGTACCCAGGAGAAACAGGGCACCAAACTTGACCGATGCGCTGAAGAAAGTGGATCAGTAACCTGACGCCATCAGCTGCAGTGAGGCTTACACACGTGCACGCGACACGCACAAGAACAATGAAAGTGTGTGTGTGTGTGTGTGTGTGTGTGTGTGTGTGTGTGTGTGTGTGTGTGTGTGTGTGTGTGTGTGT